ACCTGGTTGATTCTATGTTTCTATTCTATGATTCTGTGATCATGGAAAATAAGGTCAGCTGAGGATAAATTCTGAGGATCTTAAAACTAATGTTAACTATGAGGAGAATAATCTAAGACTTCCCAGCTTTAGTCTGTGTAACAAAAACAAGCTAAAGATGTCTGTGTGAGGGGAAATTGGTATCTCTAGGTAGAAAGGCTCCTCACATATCACCCCTTTATATTATGGTTTATGTGAATTTATTCTCTATATTTCCTTAACTGGTGCTTCACCAGATGTTTCCCTTGAGTGTGCTGGTTTTCTAACAGGCATTGGATTGGATACGACAGTCATGATGAGAAGTATCCCACTCCGTGGGTTTGATCAGGTGAGTATGGAATATCTTACACCTCCTTATATGTCAAATAAATTAAAATGTATGTTTGATTATTTTTATCTCCTAAAGAAAAACTTGTTTGCTTCTCCAAACATTTCCTTGTATGCGCTTTCTGAAGAGGAACTAAATAGATATTGATTTTTCCTATAATATCTCTTGATAATCGAAACAGAAAAGTAAATCTTTTTTTTCATTCTCATTAGTTGAAAACTTGATTGAAAATGTTGGGAAGCAGAGGAGGGATTTATGCCTCTGCTAAAACCATTAGACAGTGTCTTTGAAATAATCCTGAATATCTAGGAGTTAAAGATTTTAGAAATAAATTATTGGACTTAACCTGGAGTAGTTCAATGTTGGGTTCATTATGATTAATATAAATAAATCACTAAGGTGAAGGTTTGTAATGACATAGGAATTGGAAATCTTGACCATACAGCTTTGCAAACAGTGATGGGTGCGTAACTAGGTTCCACCGTCAACCCTAATCTACACCTGTGAAGCATGAGATCCAAGTAAGCATGGCATAGTGTGTGGCACTTGATAAAACACTTAGAGTAAGGCTTTCTCTGAGAACTTGATCCTTGGTAGGCAGGAAGAGCACAATGGGCATACCAAAGTTAATAAAGTATTAATAGAGATAAAATAATTATGTTCAGTCTGCAGCCACGTTGAGTCTGATGGAAACTGATTAGTGAGCTCTCATGTTTCTGAAGGGACATACCCCTGCTGTTGCCTTCATATTAGTTAATATCAACTTTGAAAATGAAGTTTTGTAAGCTGAGAGCTTGCATGTAGTTGTTCTGTGTGAGTGGTTTTGTGATAATATCCTTTAAGTAATAAACATACTCTTTGACAAAGTGCAACCTGAATTACTGCAGTCAGTAGCACTGACATCTTTGGATAAACCTCTCAGTGTGACACTTCACTACCAGTGTGTGGTGTGGCATTATTTTGAACAGGCTTAGGACAAAAGCATTTCCTTTCTGTCATAGAACTTTCCATGAAACCTTAGTGATTCATAGTCATTTCAGAGAAATGTCAGGTGTCATGGCAAAGGGAAATACTTTTCTTCCTTTGTTTTATGAAAGTGTTTAATTTTCATTAAACTGCCAGAAAATGGTAATTTTGGTAAGGGTAAATTGGATGTAGTCTAGATGCTATTTTTGTGTAAGCAACAAAGGATTTAAAAGCAACCATTCTATTCATATACTGGGTTACTTTTTTGAAAACAGTTTGAGTATTCAGATGCAAATGCCTCTTGGAATGGAGTTGCAGGTCATAGTGGCTCCATAAATTTTCATGGGTTGGCAATGCATAGTGACTAAGTGACAAGGAATGTCTGAAATGCACAGTGTATTGACTGGATTTCCCTGAGCACAGGTAAAGGAGGGGTTTAGATTCAGAAGGTCATATGTCAAAGAATAAACGTTTTTTATTCCCTTCTCAACAGCAAATGGCATCTTTAGTCACTGAGCACATGGAATCTTACGGCACAAAATTTTTAAAGAGATGTTTCCCAACCAAAGTTGAAAAATTGCAGAATAACAGATTGCAAGTCACCTGGAAAAATACTGACCTGGGCACAGAAGAAACTGATTCCTTTGACACAGTGATGTGGGCAGTAGGTAAACTTCATTATCTTAATGTTTACTTGCAATGCTTTCCATTCAGAAAATGAAGTCACTTCATCATGGTGTATGGGGCCAAACAGCCTCTCCCCTTTTCTATATATTAAATGTTAAATGACCTAAACATTGATAGTTGTTTAATTCTTTTCTTACATGCCAGACTTGTTCCTTTACAGTCTGAAAACACATTAGAGTTACAGCAAATGGATAAAGTCTATGGTAACTACTTTTGTGTAAGCTGCAAATGGGAGACCATCTAGTCTTCCTCACATTTATTAGAGAGTAAGGTCATGAATTTCAGCACACTCTGTGGTGCAGGTAGTGTTCCCTAAGTCCACACTCTTGATTTATTCATTAAGCTATTCACTACAAGTTCATATTTATCCTGTTTCAGAGGCTAGGATTTTTTCTAAGCTGTGCTGCTTAAGTTAAGACGAGTGCTTGACAAGAGCAGAAAAAGGTCATGCTATCTGGAGATGTGACTGTCCTGAAAACTGTAGAATAATATTCATGAGGTGAGATGAAAATGTTTCCAGAAAGTGGATTTCTAGTGCCATATTTTGATTTTCCTCAAGCTTTCTGGTTAGAAACCCAAACCATTCTATGGTTCTATGAAAAGTACACTGAGTTGCCTTTTTTTCTCACTTTTGTCTAAGATGGAAAAAAGAGATGCTAGATTGAAATAATAAGAAAAAGGTCTTGGTTTAGTGTTATTTATAAAGGAATAAGGTTGCATGAGAGACTGTTGCAACTCAGTTGTAATGTGACTCCACTCACTATTTCAATACAGAGGAACTACATGTATTATAATTTTTGACATAGATTTGAGTTACAAACCATATTTAGAAACTGCAAAATGAATAGTCTGGGGGTTTTGAGTGGACTTTTTTTTAGTATTCAAACTGACACTCCACTGCTAAGGATTAAACACATTAACAGTTGAAGCTGGTTAATTGATATGCAGTCCATATGATTCATTGTTTTGCTCTGTATCAACACACCCACACCAGGTGTCTCAGATAATAGGCTGGGAAACTTGGTGGTGTTGAGGATTTCCTGTCTGCAGATGTGCCAGTTACAATACTGATTGAAGCAAGTCAGCTTGTAGAGTTAGTTAAAAAGCAGCTACTATTGTTAACTAATTGTAGCCTGAACTATAGGAGATATTCTGTTAATTTTTGTAGGTGCATTGTGGAATTTTAGAAGGAGTTTATGAATAATGTTTAAAATATTTTGTGACAGCAGGACACAGTTTGAGTTTATAACCACAGTATTATCTCTAAATGCAGGTCCTTCAAAAATTACATTGTGTTTCTATGAGGAGTTTTGCTTTGCTTTTGGAATGTGTTATTTTCTGCTTGTATGGATAAGCTAGTAAAAGCAGGCACAATGCTCTCTTTGTCTTTCTAGCAGCTTTTTTGAGCTAGTCAAAATATTTGAGGCAGAAGAAAAGAAATCTCATTTTGATGCATTTTAATGTAATTTAAAATTTCAATCCAAAGCTTTAGTAGGAAACTGTCATGGGCCTGTGATACCGTGCTGGGTGACTATACTGTTCTATTGCAGCCCAGTGAAAGAGCTCATTCTTCATTTTTGTTTGATTCTGCCTGTTTATCTCTGTACTGTCCTTCTGTCTTACTAGTGCTGTCTTCTGCTTTTGTGAGAATTCTCCTGAAATAAGATTTTGGGGTTTTGTGCAATACAGAACCAATAAACTACTACTACTGTATAGCATTCCCCTTGCCCTTAAGGACACACAGAAATATGTTAGATGCCTTATATTCCTGAGCTACAAAGCAATGGTACCTGTGTGCACGTGCAGAGTGAACATGGGTCTTCATCCATCGAAAAGGGTAAAGATTGGCTCCTCTGTAGACAGATGCAGCTGCTGAGCTGCAGGGCAAAGTTGCTTTGTAGGGTGGGTTTGTTTTGGCTATTGAAGGGCTGAAACCTGTGGATTGAATGCTGCAGTTGCAAACGGCTAATATAGAAAAGGAATAGGTGAGTAGCATTTCCATTTGAACTTGCAATAGATGGCAGAAGGTGACTGCTGTAACTGGGATGTGATTATTTACAAAGTCCTTAAAAAAGATACCTAGTCACTACATCTCCAATGGGTTTTTTCTGTGTAGAGGAGCAACACTGAATTGATGACAAAACTAAGCAGGTATTTACCAAGTATCCTAGAATTAGTTTGACAGAGAACAGGAGGTAGTGTGCTAGTAAACTGTTAACAGAAAGAGCAATGACCAGCAGCAGATTTTAAATTTAGCTTTACAAAAAGAGTTTTCTCCCCCATGAGAGCAGTGGAACAACCACTCTCAAGTTCCAATGCATTTGTAAGCTTAGAGGAACACCACTGTGTCTTTGAAATAATATCATCTTTGCTTTAACAAAGAATTCCAGATTCAGCTCAGTGTAAAGCTGAGCAGGTATCAGGTGTTGCACATCATGTGCTGTCAAGCAAATTGTCCTTTGTGTTAAGCTGGATGCTTGGCGGATTTATTTTGTCATAAAATAAGATCCTTACTGTTTGATATCAACAAGGGGTTAAGTACATACCATGTTTTTTTTAATAGTAGTTTTCTTCAAGTCTTGCACCAGGCTGGTTTGGATTAACTAGGGAAACAAATTTTGTTTGGAGATTTTCTTTGAAAAGTCCCATATGGTAAAATATTGCTGTGATCTCCTGTGAGCGTATCTCTGCCAGCCCCCATAGGAAAGGGGATGGGCTTTAGATTTGACTTGGCAAACAAAATCTTGCCATCCAGTTATTAACCTCTGAACTATTCAGTGAAAAATAATGCACCTTGGTTGATCTCAGACAACTGCTAATGGTAATGTTATGTGGTTTGCTGAGGCTCTGGGTCTTTGTTCAGAGCTTCCCATGTCTGTCTCTCTTATTAATTTTAATTCATTACGGTCTTGGCAAGATATGGTTTCTGCAGTCCTAATGAAAATTGTAATTCCCATTACATCAGCCAGTACTTTTAGGTTTTTTCCCAATATCTGCTTTTGGTGACACTCAGTCAGACTTTATTCAACAGGGATATTATGTGGTAGTAATTTGTTTGCAGTGAAAGTGACCTGGATGGTACTTTTCCCTTCCTGTATTTAACCTACGCATAAATTTTGAGTGTAACTCTTATTTTATGCTATTTATTTTACCAACTTGTAACTTCATAAACCACTTCTTTATGTTGAGGAGCAGTTAGATGCTAGGCTCTGCCTCTACTCTGCATGTGAAGAAAGTTTTGGGGTCAGAACTATTTCAGCACTAAGGTGCTTTTTGAGTTGACAGGTGATGACTAGCCTTTACCTGAATTGTGGTATAAATAAATCTTGAAATGGTGGAAAATGCTCCAAAGTAATTCCCTGAAACCAGTGTAATTACTGTGGCATTTTGTGCAGAATACAGATTATGTTCACCTGTAAGTGCTGAGGAGGTTGCAGCCAATGACCAACTCATTTTGGAATGGTGGTTGGATACTGGTATTTGAGACTGCAGAGCCATCCTTTAAAACAAACTCTTTGATTAAAACAAGCAATGTGGAAGCATTAATGTAAAAATGAACTGTAGCTTCTTCTCAGAAACTGTTTCCAGCCTAGTTTACCTAGTACAGGACCTTGGCACCTTAACACATAGAATTGTTAGAACTCTGTGCTATCTGTAGTGTTTTCATTTGGTTGCATGTCACTTGGAGTTGCTTTTTTGTTGTTGTTGTTTTTTGAGTAGGATCAAAGTGACACATCTCCAGACACAAGAAACTTCAGTTGTACAAGTGATGGCTGTGGCCAGTTGTTTACTGGTTGCACCATGGCTACCATGAGCTTTCTGCTGAGATGACCCTGCTGTGTAACAGGTATTACTAGCAAGTGCTACAGGAGATAGTACAGTGAGCAGACTTGGCAAAGAACCAGTTACTGCCTTAGCATTGACTAGGGGCCAGATTTTTTTTCAAGCTGTGGCAGGCATGCTGGAAGGTTATCAGTAATGAATGTCATGTTCAAAAGCATCCTTGTAAAATGTGGTCACACTGCTATCAATGTGATAAGGGTTCTGAACTTTTCTTTAAATTTACTTAATCTTACTGTGCTCAGTATTTTCTTGTAATCCAGTAGTTACACTGAATTGGCCTCTGTTAGTCCTTATCAGCTGGGTGTGTTTTAGTGAACACCTTGTGGGTTTCTGGTGACATTTGAAGGAGGAATGAGTAGTGGTCTTGAAACTAATTTGGGGAGTGTTCCAGGCACCCACAACAAGGTGAGAGACAGTACCAAGACTGGAAACACAGATGAGATTTTGGTTAAGGTCAAACTGAAGTCAGAGTGGATAAAGTTATGAAGTGATATGTCAAAATGCCAATGTATAGGGAACAAGTGGAGAAGACTATTGGGCTTAAGCTTTATTCCAGAAGAACTGTCACCCTGCAGCATCCTCACAGTGACCATCTGCAATAAAGTGCTGGGTTGGCTTCAGTTTGGATTTATCAAATTCTTGGAGGCAGACATTCCAATTTCTGTGATTAAGAAACTGTGGAAGACCCATTATAACATTTTGCAGTCAGCTGCACCTTTATCACCCTGGGAAATCTTACTGGATGCAGGAGTATCCCATCAGTCACTTGCTGCTACTACTAACCTGACTGTGCCTATTCCTCTGGTTTCTTCCGAGTTTACCTGCTTCAGTGTCCACTGTTGAAGGTTCTGAACCTGAAGGTCACAGCAGCCTGATTCTGCCTTCACCTTGTTCTGTGTGCAAGAGTGATTACCTGAGCCCCTGAGCAGGTGATGGGACAGAAATGCCACATCACCATACAGCCAGATCAGCATGTGTCTGACATGGGTGCTTCACCAGTCTCTTGGCACTCTCTGTAGCCAAACTAGCTGGCAGCCCCCAGAGGAAGCCTTGTTGTTAGATCTTACACAAGCAGAGCAAAAAGCTGTTTTTGCCTTTTGAAGTTAAAAGCAAATGGGGCAGATGCTGGAAGCAGGGATTTGTGTGGTTTTCACTGTTACGTGGTAATTGCATGGGTATGTGAAAGATGGGATTATGATGTGGTATTAGCAGTGCAGGAGGCAGGTAGCCTTTTTAAGGGTCAGATTTGAGTTGCATCTTTCTTCTAGATATCTGGCATAATACTTTGCTGTTTTGCATAAAAGCTAAATTTAATATTATATCTTACACAATCAATACACTCCCATTCTTTGGCAGTTTCAAGGCAGTGGACATCTTCGAACTAAAAGCACTTGTGCTGACTTTAGAGGGAGGAGAGTTTGCATGCCTGGTAGGATTTGATATAGGTATAGGTAATTGTCCTCTGGATCTCAGAACTAAGCAGTGAAGTCATGCTTTCTTGAGGCTGTAAATGGAAACAAACTTAGAAGTTATGGGTATGAAACGAGTGTCCTACTGAGAAATGGTGAGAACTGAATCTATGATACAAGTAAGTGAATTTTGGGAAATATCAGAATTTCCTGAATTGACGTTCAAACTTACCAGGACACATTGTATAACCATGAACCTAAGCTACTGAATTCGAGGTGAAGCAAAATCAGTAAGTGTAATTCTGGCTGATGGAGGTGAGCCAGCATGGGGCTAAAGGCCAATAAAGCTTCAGTTCAGTGTTTTAAAGTTTTGATTTTGCTTTCAGAAATAATATTTAGGCAGTAAAATAGAGGGAGAAATTTCACTATGAGTAGCAGCACACTTTTGTAACTCTTAGCTATTAATACCAAGCTGTACACATGTTAAAATAGACTGAAATGGAAAGGTTAAGTGTTATCCTGCAGATTTGATAAACTCAGCTGTTGTTGTCACAGCTCTTTAAATGACTCTATTGACAGTTTTTCTTTTTTTCCTCTTTCTGTGCCTGCCGTTGCGTGCTAAGCCTCCTCCTGGCTCTGCCTGGCAGGAAAAAGGGGAAACTAGAAAACCCCATTAGTTGTCCATTTGCAGAATACTCAGGCTTTACTCTCAATACACAAAGAAATACAACGGTAGGAAGTTGTTTCACATCCGAGCCAAGATAAGGTCCTGGAGGTTTATTATTTTTGTTGCCTGATAGCATCAGGACTGGGGAGCAGGGGGCAGAGAAGGAACAGCAGATCAGCATCCCATGGGGACAACAGAAGGGAAGACAGACAGATAGCCAAGTGCCGACAGCTTCAGTCAGTACTCCCAGAGGAAGTGTTGGTTTCACCAGATGAAATTAATACACAGAAGTCTTTACAGAGGCATTCAGATGTGACATTGTTTGAGGGGCCTGGCTATATGGCAGATGTATAAAGCAGTGAATCATATGTTTACATATAATTAGGTCTGTATTGACAAGCCAGGTTTTCCTTTTGTTTAATAATTTCCTACATTAACATCAAAGAGCTTGTTTTTATAATGAAAACACATTTACACATTTCCCTTTTTGTTTGGCTTTGCTGTATTAACATCAAACACAAAATCATGACTCACGCAAAGAGACCTATAGATGTAGATATGTCCATATTCATTTAAAGCCTCTAAAATAAATGCAGCATTATAAAATTTCCTTAATCTGGATATAGTCAGGTAGTTTTTTCTCTGTGATCCTGTGTGTTCATACAAATTTTAGGAGTCAATTCTGATAATGATCTGATAATTTCCTTGTGCTTATTAACTTTCAAATACATTTGAAAAGTTGGATAGGATTTAAGATTTCAATTTCTGCATCAGGAATTGCTTTCTTAGATACTCTACAGAAAGCTCAGTGTAATGTTATTAAGACTTCAGTGGTCTAAGTGGTAAATCTATGCAGAAAGCACTCCAAAAATATATGTTCTAAAGAAGAGATAATTTGATATCACTGGGAGAGGAAGCTGTAATAAAATCTAGGCTTGGTAGAATTTGCCTCATTTGTTTTTAAATACATTTAAAATTGTATTTCTAAACTCTACAAAAATAGATCAAATGCAGAGTTTGAGCTAACTCACTCAGCGTTAAGGACTTGAGAGCAAAGTTGATAAAATTTTTCATCCAAGCTGAAGGAACTAAAAAAGCTTTAAGATAAGTGTATTCAGATAACAAGAAAAGAGAACTTCAGCAATGTTTGCCATTGAACAGCAGCATGAATAATTTTTACCCACAAGTATGGACAGCACACTGTTAGCATTGAGTGTCCTTCAGTTAATGCTGTTGGAAATTCTCAGTGTAGAAGTTGCTTAGTTATTATATGTATATTCCTGCTATGTAAGGAAACTGAATTAGAATGTTCTAGAAATATTAAACTATGTGGGTTTTGTACTTTTTGCAGTAGGTCTTCATGTTTTTAAAGGATAACTTTCTCTGAAATAATCTGAGCAAGGGTAATAGTGATCAAGCTCCTTTCACAAAGAAATTCACATCCATCCTTTCCACCCTTGTGGCTCTTTCAGTATGAGGTAAGTTTTGTCCTGTTTCTGCTTGGACTGTCACAGAACACAGAGGTGTTGCAAACCCAGCATGGAGGACACCAGCTTTAGCTTAACATTGCTGAAGTTTTCCAATAGCTTTAACTTTAATTTCTTTTTTTTTCCTTTTTCCCTTAAGGCCGAGCCCCTGACACTAAAACTCTCAATCTGGAGACCATTGGAGTGAAAATTAATTCTGAAACTGGAAAGATTATTGTTGGTGCCAGTGAAGCTACTTCTGTTCCTCACATTTATGCAATTGGAGACATAACAGAGGTACTGAGTCTACATAAACTATTTTACAATAACAGGAAGCCAACTTTGTTCCTGACTAATAACTAGTCCCCAGATGTCATTGTGCTGTAGCATATATCTGAGTGTTTTGCTCTTTTTCGTTTGGCAGAGCTGTAGTGTTTATGCCATCCACCTGGGTCAGTCATTTCCTTCACAAGGATCTTGTGAAGTATCTCAGCATGTGAGATTATTACTGATGTTTATCAGGAAATGCATCATTGGTCAGAGGCTAATGATGTCTTTATCACTTAATCTTTCTAATAATGCCTTTATCACTTTAGACATATGACTTCATGCTGCCTGTGAATGCTGAGTGAAAGCATTTCTTACCTTCTGGAGCTGAATACACTTAGTGGGAATGGCCATGACAAGTTCTGTAATTCCAGTTGTAGTATTTTGGGTGTTAACTGAGACTAGTCACAAGACAGCTTTCCAGCTCCCTGATGCAGAATGCTGCTGACAAAAGTATCTTCCTCTAGAATAAGAAGAATTAAATGCTGAAAATATTTAATGCATTTGACTTCTGTTTGTGATTTGTGAGTGGTTGTGTTTTTTACTCTAAGGTAAAAAACACTGTCACAGGTTGCCCAGGGACGTGGTGGCTGCCCCAACCCTGGCAGTTTTCAAGGTGAGGATGGATGAGACCTTGAGCAACCTGATCTAATGAGGAGGTGTCCCTGCCCAGGGCAGGGGGTTGGGACTAGATGATCTGTAAGGTCCATTCCAATCCCTAAATTCTACGATTCTATGTCAAGTAAATATGAGGTGTGTGGGTTTGTTTGATTGTCTATTTTTTTAAGGACCAGACATTATAACTCAAGCAAAATAATTTAGTTACAGAGATAATGCCAGAATTTTGTGGCCTTAATCTAGGGCTATTGTTAACCTACAGTCACATATGAGAAGAATGTCTTGTCATGATCAAATACCCAAATACTTTCAATCCACCAATTTTCAGTTTACATAAGAGCTCAGAGTATCTACTGTAAGTTGGGCATCTTCATTCAAGATGTTTGTTTGGATTCTATGCTGTACAGCTACAAGAGGATGTTTTCATTATCTGCCTACTGTTCCTGAAAAATGTGGGCAATGTGCAGGCTAGAGAGGCTGGGCATTGCAAAACACAGAATTCTCTCACCTGTTGTTGCACTTAATGGAATTGTGGACATGACTTCCTTTCAAGATTGCTTCTCATGTAGTGCAGGCATTGGTTTTTTAAATCTGGTAAACTTAAATAGTGTAGCAATATCCAAACACCATATGTAGTATCATTTGAGAGACTTAAAATATTTCTCATTCTGCCATGTTTAAAGGCTATTAAAGGTCCCTCAAATGTATAAGCCCTACAGGTGCTCTGAGTTTCTGAAGAGATGCAGCAGGTTAGATAATGTCTTGGGAATAGCCCTGCAAATTTCTGACTGGAATCTGGAACTGCCAGAGACACTTAAAACTGATAAATCTGCTGACCATTCCTGACCTCTTCCCTATGTGTTTCTGCCTGTCTGTCTCCATCTTCAAGTGAGTGACTTGCCATTTCCTCTTAAACTGTGCTACAACTCTTTCCTTCTCAGGTATCTTTCCCTTTTTTCTTCTTCTTCTTACTCTGCACAACTTCTCTGTCTTGTCCTCACTCAGGGCTTTGGGATTTTGTAGAGTTCCTCCCCTTTCTTCTCACTTCACATGCAGGTTCCCCCTGTACTTGTCACTTCTTGCTCTGGGATATATCCTGAAGTCTACTTTCAGCTTGCAGTCACCTCGTGCACCTGCTTGTCCCTGATATATAGCTGTGGCTGGGCCTGCTGCTTTCCAAACTTTTCTTTTTGATTTCATCCAAGAAGCAGTTGTTAGAGGCAATGCTGGCAGGGCTTTCATTCTGCTGCTCATTTTGCTGCCAATCTGCAGTGTTATTTTGGGCAAGTCATTTCCTTTTGAGTGCTTTTTGTCTCTGCCCTTGGAGAATTTAGTTAAGTGAGAAATATAAAGTTGGAGGCAGGATGCTCTCCTCTTTGGATATAAAAAATCATGTCTTCATTTATTTGTCATTTTCATTTTGTTGTTAAAACTTGGATTTCCTTTTCCTGCTTTTGTCCTTATTAGTGTAGATTTTTGAACTTGAGTTGTTCAATAGACACTTCTAAATGTGTTAAAAACAGCAGCACAATTCTATGCTATTTTCAATGTGCAACTGGGGAAAAAATGAAGAGTTAAATCAGTGCTCTGCAGAAATATTCTCTTAAGCTTTTATCTGCATATGGGCTTAATACAGGGAATTAAAGAAATTGTGGTGTAGTACTCACGCATTGAAAGTGTTCAGAGATAAAAGGAGTTACTGCCATTATCTTACCTGACTGCAGTACAATGTGAGCCATGTAATTCCACTTGCTAACCAATAGAGTTTATTTTATTTCAGCACTTAAATTAATTTTGTCTTTTTTTTTTTCAAAGCAGAATTAATTTAGATAATCAATTTCCTTGGCAAGGGAACCAGCACTGAAAGAAAGTTGTGTGTTGGTGCACATCTCAAAGCACACACACATGAGAATCAAGTGCATCCTGCTAAGAGCCACAAAGCTGCAGAGCTTGCTGGCTGTGACCTACCAAAAGAGCACAGGAAGGGCAATCTGCTTTCCTGTGAGTGAGCATCAATGATCCCTCAGAATCATTATAAGAATACAATTATTTTTTTCTCTGGTGTTGGTGCTCAGGATTTCTCTTTGCTCTGCTCTCTCCCTGTCAGAGTTTCTCTATTACAGTAAAGTTTTAGTGCTCAAACTTTGCAAGTACTTCTCCCACCCTTCTCCTCCCTCCTTTGGCACTCCACACTGAATAGACACTGAATTGCTACCAAGCAGCAAGGACTACTTTTCTGGTTTGAATCCAGTGCCCTGGCTGGAAGGGAGGGAGAAGGGGCAGGCGAGTTTCCTGATCTGCTCAGAATGACTGTTTTCATTTGGGAGTCATACCCAGCTGGTACAAATGGGAAACTATTTCTGCATGGGTGTCTTGTTGCACCCTTGTATGACAAATGGAATCCTAATGTTATCCAAGCTGTTCATTTGGAGAAAAGGGGGGAAAAAAATTGAAAAACCTTCCAGACATCAGTCAGTTTATCTACCCTCAAAAAAACATTTTTCAAACTTTGGCAAATTATTGTTTACATCTTACAGGTGAAGTTGCATTTCAGCATTTTCGTGTTCTGTAGTCAGGATGAGTAAGATCAAGTCTGGATTTTAGTGTGATTTTTTTTTCAGTGTTAAAATCCTTCCTTCAGTAGTGTTCCTGTTGAAAGCAGGGCACACACTATAAAGACATTCTCTCGGATGGAGGTTTATCACATGGTGAGGCCACTCTACATCTGTCGTATTTCAAAGGGTGTTATAACAAAGATGTGTAGAGATGGTGGAATGTACAGTATGTTACTTTGAATAGAAATGAGACCAGAAAGAGTTATGTTAGCACAAATACACATTACTTCAAAGCTTTTCAAAGTCTCTGAGGAGCCATCTCGTTTAAATGTATAATACATTGGAGGATTCTTATGAACAATTCCTATCCATAATAATCAGCAGAGTAGTTCTACACATGACTGCAAAGTGAGTGTTCATTTCAAATATTTACCAAGGAAGGTCTTTAAGTCATTGTTTATGAGAAATTGGGCTTTATCTGCATGGATGTTTTAGTAATTAGTTGGGTTTTATGGAATGCATGGCAATGCTTTCACAATTTTATCTCTCGTTCCAATCTTCTATTCATTTCTGGAATGCCAAAACAACATCTGTATTTCCTGCTACAGAAGTGATTGGCAGCCATGTTTCAGGCAAATGTGTATAAGAAAAAACAAATGGCAAATTTCATCTGGTAAATGACATTTACAGACTTGAAAGTCAAAATGCTGGATTTGAAAAATTTTGACTTGATGGATGGTGGGGGGGAAAAAGTGTTAGACTTGCAGTTTTGTGATTTGTCATGAGCTGTGGAGGAAAAATACATTAGTCTTCATGAACAATTAGAATTGTAATTTCTGTTATCAGGTTAGATATAGTGTTGTTTCAGTTAGATTTTTTGCAATGGAACTTTTAAGTGGTTATTAGTACAGATAAAAGCATAAGTGCATATTAATATGCAGATAATTTCTATGATATGTGTACTGAAGAAGATGGTGGCTAATACGATGTGCAGAGTCTGTCTAGCAACATACAGTAAAGATAAGCTGGGAAAGAAGAATTGATTCCAGTAAATGCTAAAAAACTGTAGGGTAATGAAAAAAGTGAGAAACTTTGAATATGTGTGGTGAGGAATCCTTTTTTTTTCCTCTGCTGAAAACTGGTTTTGAGAGCTTCTTGGGTGATTCCTCCAAGTGGAGCTTTGCAGGAGCGTGACAAGTGTTGTATCTAGATCGGACCTTTATGAATCAAAACTTCACACATTTTATAATGCATTCCACCTTGTCCTACAAAGGTGTTTCTCAGTTACAGCTTTTTTATGTCTCCACATCATTCCTTCTGGATTTGGACCTCTTTCCTCATGTCAGACAACAAGCATCTTGATGATATGTCTTGGATGAACTCTTAAATAATGGGGGTTTTATTTAAATTTATGAATTTTGTTAGGTCTTAGTAACTTACATGGGCTGTTCTTCCTTGGACTTGAAAATATTCCTTTGAAAACGCCTTAGTTCAATTTGCAAAAACGTCTTTAAAACTAGCACTGGAGTTGTGATGCTGCAGTGGTATCATGCCAGCACACAAACTTAGGGTTCTGGCACACTACGTTGGCCTGTTTGGATATAAAAAGTAGCCAGGACTCATGGCTTGAACTGGAGCATGTCCTGGGCATACTCTGCTGTCGTTCCATTTCTCACTTGCAGGAAGTTAGCAGTTGCCAGCAGCAATCCTTTTCAAGCCCCTCTGTAACACCAGAGCCCCAGACTACAACCAGCTCACCCTGTAGGTTGCAGTGCTGGCAAAATAGTGTTCCACTTCTCCAATCCAGGACCAACATAGGAAGTCAGTGATAGTGCCGACAAATAGGTACATTTTGTGCCTGGGTTCTGTAAAAATATGTCAGAGAACTTTTTTTGAAAGGTCTGATGTTATGAAAACACTGTTGCTTTATTCTAGGCTCTTCTTGCTTTAAAAAGACCCTCTGAAAAATTTCTTGATGACTTACTATGGAGAGAAAAGGGGAAGTGAACAGTTAGCCTGTGAATATGTGCTGCTTTTCAAGAGGTGACTTGTTAAGATACAGAGATTTGACACGTTCATGAAATTTGTTCCCCCATTAAGACAGATAGTAAACTCAGACTTAAAAGCATATTTGGACAGAAATTATTACTGCCTTCTCTGTTTGGAGCCCTGGCTACCAGGCTGGAATTCCAAAGATTTGGCCTTCCTCTGACCATTGTCCCAGGAGAAATCCTTGGATGCTGCTTCTCTCCTAGTTAAAACAAAGCTCTGTGCTCTCTCCTTAGGGCCGTCCTGAGCTAACACCCACAGCGATAGCGGCAGGAAAGCTGCTGGCTCAGCGTCTCTTTGGCCAGTCTTCAGAACTGATGGACTATGACAATGTGAGTTGTTATTTCTTTTTTCCTTAATGAAAATCTTATGCCTTTATTTCTTCCTTAAGAATTTTTAAAGTAATTATATTTTGTCATCTGGAATTCAGCTTTGACAGTAGCCAAAGTCGCTGTGCACAAGTCCCCCTGTGTCTGCTGTGTAGCTGTTCAGCAGTGGCACTTTGTCTCCTCCCAAGCAGGTACCCACCACAGTGTTCACTCCCTTGGAATATGGTTGTGTTGGACTGTCAGAAGAAGCAGCTGTGCAGTGTCATGGATCAGATAATATTGAGGTATGAAAACATTTTTGATTTATAGTTGGTGTCAGCGCTGCACTGTGAAAAGTCAGAGTCGTCACTGTTGTAGCCAGTAAAATTTTTAGTCCTCAAAATACTAAGTTTGCAGTTAGGGAGTTGGTGCCTCCAGAAGTGCTCGGAACTTTAATAGTATTGCAGCAGGTCACAATGGGAACTGTTACCTGCTGGGCTTAAAATGATCAAAAGAGTGTGAAGCTTTAAAGTAGCTTCCACTTCAGCAAGTTTAATTGTGCAGCAGCATTAAATAACAGTTTTAATTGTCAGAATTGCTGGTCAAGTTCTTTAATTAAATTTTTGGGAAGCCCCCAGAAACAGTCACACAAGCTGCTAAGTGCCTCTGTGGCTGAAATATCTGGCTATAATATGCCTGGGCACGGTATATTGAGAAGGAAATCTGCCGTGGCACACCGAGGCCTCTGACAGGAGCAATGAGATTAAGGTACTCATGGTGAAAGAATTCATAATCACTATACAATAAGACAAAATTCAAACAAATCACCCTTGAAAAAATATGTTGTGTTACTTTTGTTCACTTGGCAAAATCATTAATGAAAATCCAAGAATTTACTATTCAGAATGCAAAAATTGCGGTTTGGGTTCTGGTATACATTATTATAGTTACAGAAGGATTCGTGGATATTTTCAGTAAACAAGGCATTGAACCTTTGGGAGGAACTTAAAAATGCTAAGGTTTATTTCCTTTAATTTACCACACTGGTTTGAGTAAAATTATTGGGGATTTTTTTCTGTTTTGTTCGTAATCTAATGATTCTCTGAGAAAGGTTTGTGTTAAATTCTTACTGTGCTTTCCATATTTTTCTTTAAAGTAATGAACAGGTTATAAATAAATCTTTTTTTCCTACAATGGTATAAATATGCAGTAATAGTAATTGTAATACTAAGTAGCAGTTTTGGACATAATAGTACTAACACTAAATGTTGCTGTTTTCTTACCAGGTGTACCATGCATATTATAAACCTTTAGAGTTTACAGTGGCTGAAAGAGATGCAACTCAGTGCTATATGAAAGTGAGTTTTGTGAGCTTTTAACTTGCTTTTAACTTAAAACACGAGATATGGTCCATCAGCTTTAAGGAGGGCTGTTTGGCCAAAAAAATCTCAAGCTGGCTGAGATATTTCCTTGCTGACAGCCTGTTTTTCTAGTATAACTTCAAATGTTTAATATTCATTACATATCCCATTGCATCTTGAAATTGCTTGATAGATATTAGCATTTTTCAGAATGGACATTCTGCTGATTAATACCATCTTTGAACTGCTCTTGAAGGTCCTAAGAAAATTCCAAGTTCTATAGAGATCAGTCTGTGCTTCTCCCAGCAAAGTTCTTGCCTGCTTACATGTAATATTTGCATTACCATTTCTTGGCAAAAGTATGCTACCTTCAAAAAAATTAGTCATAAAACTGACAAAACTAGAGTAGCTGTTCAGTCTTAAACAAAAAGCTCCTGGTTTAGACCAAAGGGTTGGACCTGAAATGTGTCTTCCCCTAGAGCAATCCATTGCTTCAGTGTTGAGAAGGTTTTTGATGCTCTTGCCCATAGCAGAGAGTCTTAGTTAAGGGAAAGGGTAATGTTGGTAGAACATATCATAGCTTTGTTTTACTTTCTTCTCTCTTCTACATCAGGGCACAATCTTTTTTCACAAAAATATAGTCACTTCTTTAGGTCTATCGATTATACTATGCAATATTATATTGTGTAAGGAATGTCTATGGTCGATAGTTGCAACTGGTTTTCCTAACTGTCTTTGTCACATCTGATTTCTGTAAGTGCCTCAGTAGCTTGCCTCAGGTGTCCCAAGTACCAGTGTAACTAGGGTGATGCTATTTCATTTTATGTATTTCCTTTGAATTATGTCCATTAAATTAAGTACCTGAGGGTGAAGCAGTAATAGAATAATAGTTGTTGGATGATATTGATTATAGTCCTTACTAAACTCCCAAAGCATTAGTGTTTCTAACTCTATTGCCAGAGAGGTTTTTTCTTTAAAACTCCTCAATATTTCAGGTCCCACATCAGGATTGCTGCTGTTCCTGGCATTTCTGGTGAAGGAACTCAAGCTTTTACCAAACAGCAGAACTTACTAGATTAGTGATGATTTAATGCTTCATGGGAGGACGCAGGGAGAGACTGACTTTCTTTTCATAATTATAAAGATGGTGTCCTTAAAAGAACTAAAAAGATTTCATTAAGTTCTCTAATAAAAGTTTAGTGTACAGTGACTCAGGCTCTCCCAGATACTTATTACCTTACCTTCATCCTTGGCTGCTTCCATGGCCTGATACATTACCACATCAGCCACATAACCTAAAAAGGAATCTCACCAAACATGCTGCTGGAAGTGTTTACAGACTGCATCACAAAGGCATAAAATATCCTGCAGTTGGTAGTGGTCATCTGTGAAAATTGAGCTGATTAGCTGCTGAGAATAACTGCCCGTGCTTGGAGAGCTGCTAAGGTGGCTGTTCAGTGGAAAAGAACACTGGGCTGGTTAGTGGTCTACAGAAAGTATTGTGAGCCTTTCATACAAATGACAAGCAACAAAGTGTTCAATACCACAAATTATTGTTGTCAGTGGCTCCCTGAAATCTGAAAGAAATACACTAATTAAAGCTTCACTCAGGAGAGTGCTTAAGGATGAGAGTAAGGCCTGTTGCAGTCAGTGAGACTTAAGCAAGTATGTAAGTTTTTGGCATACTGGAAATAAACAGCTGAACTAGGATCTTAGGGCACTTCAGTTTCATTTAATTCATACCCATGCCTTATCTGTAAATGTTCTGAGCAAAGATCTCTCTGTAATGTATTGTTTTCAGATGGTGTGCTTACGAGAGAGAGAGCAACGAATACTTGGCCTTCATTTCATTGGCCCAAACGCAGGCGAAGTTATTCAAGGATTTGCTCTTGGAATCAAGTAAGTACAAAAGAATGTCTCTAGCTTCTAAAGCCTACTTCTTAAGTTATTGTAAGATTATAAAAGATAGCTGCCTAGTTTTGGCAACGCTATAAAGAATGCTTGCTTTTTGTTGCTTTTATGGAGTATTGCACATATTTTCACTAAAGATGTGGCAGTTCTTCATTAGGATGTACTGGACTTAGTTACTGTAATACTGGATATAGTTAAGGAACAACTGAGGAAAATATATTGTTGAATTGATATAGTTAAAGCAAAAAAACAAGATTGGGCACTAACTTACTAATGTTAGTTTTCTTAGCGTAACTTCTTTTGTACTCTATGCACAGGATAGGAAATCACCCTATAGTTTTGCAAGTTAATTCTTTAAAAGGATATTTGTGCTTTTGATAAAAACCTTTCTCTACACCTGCCAAGAATTTCCTTTCCTAATCTCATCTTTAGATGCGCACAACTCCTCGAAAGCTCAGCAAGGACTTGCATGAATTTATATATTCTGGGGTATAAGCTAATCATAGCATAGTAAAAAAAGAAACTTCTGTAGGATGATGGGAGAGGGGAGGTACTTTTGTTTGGAGCTATTTCCATATTGCAATAGCAAACTTACCCAAACTTACCCTATCATCTGATCTTGGTTAAGATTTTGCTTAAATATTAATACAGAAGTCTTCCCTTTGAAGGAGTAAGGAATTATTCTGGGCTCTCCCTGGTCAAATGGAAAATTCCTGCTATGCCTCTTGTGTGCTACAATTATTTCTTATTTGTTTTTTCATTTCCCTTCTTATTGCTGATTCACATCTTCAGAAATGTTGATTCGTATATTTACATTGCTAAATTACAGTTTTTAACTCCTCCTTTGAAGAAAGTAGTCTGGGACACAATAAATCACCCCCAGTTGTGGTGTTAGTTCATTTTCCTTAATATGATCACCATTTTATTGCAGTTTTAGTCTTACAGTTGTGAGTGACTAGCATAAATGAAAAGCAGAAAGGATTAGGAAGGCAAGACCGCAAGTATCATGTGAGGAGTATCTTGGAAATCACTGATTGCAGTGTACCCTCAGTACACATTTTCAACATGTGTTTGTAGTCCATTAATTGCCAGTGGTATAGATTCTAGAACTACATTTTTTAGGATGTCACTGTTTTGAAGTTTTATCCAAAATAACCATTGAAAAGGAAGCACATGAAACTGGAGGCTTTTCTGTCTTGCTTGAGGGAAATGAAACCTTTAGCCACAGTAAGAGGTTTTCAGCAGGTCAGATTCTTGTATTGGTTTCCATTGTATTTCACCAATCCAGAGTTTTCAATGTGGAACACTCACTGTAAGAGCTGCTGTTCTCCCTTGTCAAGTATTAGGTCTTGCTTCAGCCTCTCCAAAGGATGATTTTTCATCTTCCCTCCCCACGTAGCACTCCAGTAATATCTGTGCTCAGCAATAATATTTTGCTTGTCGGTGCTTTTCTGGATGTAAGTGGAGACACCAGAAGGCATCTGTGGCTCCTTTCCCTGTATTTTGTAGAGAGAGATAACACTATTCCATAGAGAGCTTGAAACAGTTCTTAATTTTAGGGCTATTTCAGCTATTCTTACAGTATGACCTGCCAGGAATAGCAGCTCAAAGGAAAGTCATCAAGTCTGAAGAATGTTATTGGACAAGTAAAGGAACTAAGCAAGTGGAATTTTAGCTCAAGGTTTTTTTGGTGTAATTTTTTTCTTTTATTCAAATGAGACTCTTTTGTCTCCTCCTTATAACGTTGATATGTTCAGTGTAAGCACCAGAGACTTTCTCTAAGATCAGGAAAGAGTATTCTGGTATTACTTCTTTCAGCAGATTCTTTCCAGCAGTTCTAATTAAGATTTTCTTCCTCTGTGTGTGTGTGTGCATTTTTTTCCATCTGGAGTTAGTGAAACACACATGTATGTACAAGAAAAGCTGAAGGTTGCAGTTTTGTCATATGTTTTTGCCATAGGCTCAGTTATGACTTGGGGTAAATTGCTTCATTCTCTCTGTCTCAACTCTTAGGACAATTCGTCCCTACCTCACAGTGTTGGGAAGCTTGGGCGTCTACAGGTTGTGTAAGTGCCTGAGAAATAACAGACAGCTTTATTTGGAGAATAAATGCAACTCCTCTACCTGATAAAATGGACAAGTGCAGAATTACTTTGATGTTTTAGGACCTTCTAGCTGCTTCAGGGGACTAATATTTGACTTTGTGGGTCTTTCTTTTCTTGTTGTGTTTTGTTAGATGTGGTGCTACGTATCCTCAGCTAATGAAGACAGTTGGCATTCATCCTACCTGTGCTGAAGAAGTTACCAAGTTGCACATTACAAAGCGTTCTGGCTTGGATGCAACAGTCACAGGCTGCTGAGGTTAAATACCATCCCTGGAAAGAAGGAAAAAAAGCACAAAATGTATTTCTAAAGAAAAGGGGCACTTAGAGTTGATACATTTTTAATGGTTCAGGTTCCAGGAATCTTGTTCTCCCTGTAGACAGCTTTTTCTCACAGCCAAAACAATTGTCCTGCACCATCACAGTTCTAAAACCAGTGCAGTCCTGCTGTAACACATCTCTCTTTCCAAGTGCCTAAAACTCTTCTCTTGCTGGGAGCTGGGGAATAATCACAGTACTTCATATGGAACTATAGCTAAAGCCAGGGACACCTGAGGCCATCTACAAATTAAGCAGTTGTCATTTGGGTTTCTCTGCTGGCTGCCAGCAGAAGTGTCTCACACGATGTTGACACAGACAGTGGGAATTGGACAGGGCCTTCCTTAGAAGTTTGGTGTGATGCTTCCTCCTGAGTGCTTGGGTAGCTCATTACTGATCCTAGTGCTCAACACTGAGACTCTGTACTCACAGTAGAAACAAGTTCCCAGAGTGTGTAACAATGGGTGAGCAGTCATCTTTGGGTTTTTTTTCTGTAAAATGTAGTATGTACAGATATTTAACAGAAAATCACCTGAAGCTGTGCTGCTACTGAATGAATCCCAATGGATTAATCAGTAGCAGCCTGGTCACAACATTATAGTGACAGCTGAGAATGATCTCAGAGGTGCAAAGGAAGAGTTGAATTTTATGGTGACTTCTCTGCCGACTCCTGTAATTTTTAATTCAGTTCAGGTCAAATTAAATTGACACATGTCACAAATTGCTGGTTGAGCAGTGTCTATTAAGCAACGCTGACAAGTAGAATCAAAACCACTAATAATCCAACTTATGCAGCATTTTCTGTTTTATAGCATGCAGAGATTTGGCTGACACTGATACATTTTGTTGGTTTCTTTTTAAGACCTTTTCACTGATGAGCTGGGTACTACATCTGATTTGACTTAGGTCTGGTTTTAATAAAACATGTTACCAAAGGGTAAATAATTATCTGCAAACTCTCTTTTTGAGTCTTGGCTCGAGGAGGAGAGCATTTCCCCGTGCAAATCTATGCTGATATTGGGCTCTCCAGAAGAGGGAGGTGCTGCCTCATCTGTGGCAGCAAAGGAATGAATCCAATAGTGAAGCCTCTTCTGCAGGGAGCCTGACAAAGGAAAACACGAAGTGCACTGATTTTCAATCCAAGTCGCAGTTGCAGTATTCTGATATGCATAGTCACATAGTTTCTTGTAGCCTTTATAGCAGAATAGTGCACCCAGGAAAAGAGAGATCAGCTTGAGGTGAAACAAAATGTATCCTTTTGGCAGTGGATTGATATCAGTGGTTTATGTGTGGCATTTGATATTTTCACTTCAAACTTGGTGCATAGTTTAGGAGAACAGTCTGATGATCATGTACATCTTTGCTGTTTTTAATTTGATTATCATTCCACTGCTGCACATGCAACGCAGACAAATGGTTGGTTTATTACCAGTGCGAAATCTTTGTCACCATGAGCATTGTACCTGTCAGAGAAATTATTAGACAAAAAGAGATCAGATCCTCCTTGTAAAACACGATGTGACAGCATTTATCACACTCTCATTGACGTTATAACATTCAAATATTTGTTTTAACTTAAACAACCACAAAAGAAATCTTACACATTTTCTTTACACAGTTTCCTGATTTTTGGTTCATATTTCTGGTCCATGAAATAGGAAGAAGTGATACAGTTTGACTGCAAGTGGCATTGCCTGTCAGATCTGCTGATGCCATTTTTCATCTGTGAAGTCATCCATAAATTTGTAGTTGTAAAGAAATACTTTGAGTGGAAGAGTAGGAAAACACTGCCTGAATATGGCAACTGCCTTTGGAAGAAATGATGAAAACTTTGTATATAAATATGTGCCTGCCTGCACAGTCAGAATTTTGTTTTCTTTAATAAAGGTCTTATGAGTGAGATGCAGCCAAAAACCTGACTAGATTTTTCTCACCCGTCTACAAAAAAAAGAGTTTGTAGTAAGTTATTGTTTCTTTAAATGTTTTATTTAATATTTCAAGACATTGAGATAGTGCCTAACAGAGATTTTGCTGTGAGAATCATCTCACCTCTGACTAAATTGTGATGTGTATGCACTCAAGATTTTTTCTAAGGATTACCTATTATAGTTCCTTTTATTTCCCATATTTCCCATGATTGCATTGGTGTTTAAGCATGTAAAATTTGCTTCTCCTCTCTGTCCTAGCAGTGCATCCAGCAGACAGATTTGTCTGCCCCTGCAGACAAACCAATGGGTTAATTTCATTCATCATAAAGTTCCAAATAATTATTTGGGACAGCAAATGAGGAGATGTCAAGGAAACACCTCAGTGTATATGGGGTATGAAACTAAGGCATGTTGTCTTTCTCAGAACTAGCAGAACTCTTGGTTTTAGAACTGCTGAGTGGACTGGGTGAAAATTGTGCCTGTTTCTTGCACAGCAGCTCAGTTCTGTTCCTTGTTCAGTGGCAAATTCGGTTGCCCCCCTGAAGTAAAACTAAACACGCATTCACACCTACATAGCTCTAGTGTCAGAATTAACAGCAAGACAGAGTAATGACAACTACTGTGATTGTGCTTTTTTTCCTGAAGGATTCTCCAGGGATGGTGCTTAAGAATTGTTTTTAAGAGCCTGACTAATGTTAATTGAAGCAACTGATGTACACTGCAAATTACTGATTGCATGTGAAAATGTGAAAAGATAAAATGTAGTCAGGCTCCTCAGGATGCAGCTGATGAAGATTTGTTTGTCAAACCACACCGTGGTGTGAACAAGTCAGAGCTTTGCTGTGTCCCTCATATGTATGATCCCAATATTTATTGTGTTGTGAGTTAATTAACGAATAAAGAATATTTTTTTTCTAGTAAATGTTTGATTGCTTAATTTTGTACATATGATTTCTGCTCACAAAAGATTTATTTTCTGATCTTAATGCTGTTCTCTTGGTTGAAATATGTGTTAAAGGAACAAAGAAGTAGACAGACCTTTTAATAAGGAAATGTTGATACCTCGGTGTGTGCAAACTGAATACCGGTGGAGATTTTTCCAGGATGGATGGCATCTTACTCTAAGTTTAAATTAAGAGAACCTATACATGATAAGTATGGTTTCAAATACTGTCCTGTTTATTCCAGCTAATGAGGTCTTAACAGGTATTTTCTCTGCCCCTGCATGTTGACGTGCTTCTAGAAGTCTAATCAGGAGTAAAGTCCCTTGAGATACAGTGCAGTCAGAGTACTATACAGGGCTAAACTGTCCTACAGTCGTTATTCACTTTGGGTTTTAAACTAAAACATGCAGTGGGAAAATGCATTGTAGCAAAGCCAGTTAGCAGCTGTGGGTACTGCTAGGTAAAAATGTTGGAAAAATAATTGAGAAATGACTAGCAAAATATATTTAAAACTCAGAAACTTCTCTGTCAGAAAAGAAAGGGAGTACATTGTTCAGTTCATCTCAATTTTCTTTCATTTCTTTTCAAACACACTGATTTTGGGGAGAAGTTCCCATCAGGTCGGGTAGTGCTGAGCTGCTTAGGCTGGTTTAGTACTGCCTCAGAGTATGCCCTGGGTTTGATGCTGAGAACAAATATTGCCTTTGTTGTATTTAAAGGCATTTTTATTTTTAATCTCTTTTAATTTCCTGAAATATTTCATTGCAGGTTCTAACTAATTAGGGTAGCTAGCAACAGTGGCTAAAAAAGGGCAATAAGGTAAACATAATTCTTGATTTTTTTTCCCTCTTATTTTCATATACCACATAGTCCCAAAGCAAAAAGAAGAACAGACAAGCATAGAGACAATAATCTTTATAAATTAGCACTTGAATACACTGCGATATATATATTACACCTAATGATAAGTGCTAAGGTTTTGTGTACAATTCCAGTTTGCCTTTTCCCATTTCTCCGTGCACTGTATGTCACTGCACCTACTGAAAATTATTTCTACAGTTTAGATTATTCCAGATCAGGAGCTGAAAAAAGATCCTTCAGTCCAGCAGATACACTTTTCCTGCTTGCACAGTTACTCTGATAAAACATAGATGCCATAGTGCAATGTGTTTCTAACCAAAGCAGTTGCACATTGTCCAGACTTTTGAGTTTGAGCATTTCTCTTCAGAGGCTTATGCCTGTCCAACAAAGTAGGCAATTTTGTGCCCTTATAAATTGCCGGTTGTCTAAATCCCAGTGACATCAATGTACTCAAAGTTAATGTTGGCCATTAATTTCAGTGGGATGCAAGTAGGTGTCTTAAGTGCTTTGTTAAAGGGGAATCAATATAAGCATATGCCAAAATGTCTTTCATTATTACAGTTGGGGAACAGACTGCAATTATGATTCAAAACATAAAAGTTACAATAGACATTCATGATTAGGCAATGAAATATGCCTTTAATAAGCACAGTGCAGACAGTTTGTTTTGCAATACGTAAACTTGTATAAAATTCATTGACTTTTTCATTCTTTCAGATCTGAGTGCTCTCTTTTAAGAGAGGTTTTTTACTTTTATGCACAAAGTTTTCCTGATGTTCTTCCAGCAGAAAGGCTGGGTTTGCATGCATTTATTCTAGTGCCAAACTTGAATTTTACTGGGAAAAGAGGAAACAGCAGAACAGACCTTTTTTCCTTTTTTTTTTTTTTTTGTTTTCCCAGGGCAGCATGCAACAGGTATGCTGTAATTACTCTGATTTTTGAAAAATGGAATATTTCTGTCCACTACATGTCAAAGAGCTAATTATGTTTCCGTTGTGGTACTCAAAGTCAAATATTGTCAGCTCTTCTTAGTTCTAATCCTCTACATTGAGTTTTGATGGGCCAGGTGAAATATCCCCTTCAGCACCTTACTGCAATTCTTGTCAATCATCTTGCCATGAAAAACATGCATATTACAAAGGCTTTGGCAACACTGCATCTGATTTCAGTCTTTAATCTTATATGCACCTTAAGAAAACATCATTCC